GCTGATGGCGTCTGGATGCCAGCTAGGCCAGGGGTGAGCTGACCAGAGGGCAGGCCTGGTGTCTCACTCCCAGGCTCCCAGGCACCCATCCTGGCCCACTGCGCACAGACAGGGAAACTGAGGCCCCGGGAGGAAGGGCTGGTCCCAAGTCACCTGGGGGCTGGGGGCCACCTGGGTCTGCCTCTGGGCTCCTGCTTCATCTCGCTGCCTGGGGTCCCTGGGATGCCTTCTCGGGCCCCTGTGTTCTTGTCTGTTGGGGTGGGGGGTGGGCGAGGCCATCTGCGAGGCCCCATCTGAGACCTGAGGTTCTGCTTGCTGGTAGAGCCTCAAACACAGAGGTCGGACACGCACGTCATGGGTGCGATTGGCTGGGGGGGGGGCTGCCACGTGGGGGCCCAGCTCTTCCGGACACCAGACCTCTGGCCCTGGCTCCCCCGGGGCGTCTCCTCCCCTCCTCTGCCCGGCGGTGTCTCCCTACCCCCCCGCCTTTCTCCCTGTGCCCTGCTGTCCCTCCGTGCCCCAGCCCAAAAGTCCTCTAGGAGAAGCGCCTCCCTGGATGCTGCTCCTCGGCTCCCAGACCGCGGCCCAGGAGCTCCAGACACCGCCTCCAGGTGGCGATGTGCCTGAGCCCCGGGGCCACACATCCCGGGCTCCGCGTGCCCTGGCGGGCAGCCCTCACCCACCTCCCCGCCTCCCCACGGACTTTGTGGCCCTGGCACTGCCCATGCAGAGACCTGGGAATCGGGCCCAGAGGCCTCACCTCATCTATTTTTAAGTACAAGCCCATGAAAGATTCACAGGCCGCTTGATTTACAGGTGGCAGGAGGCGTTGGAGTGTGCAAGACGCCTGGAAACACGCAGGGCTCGGCGAGTTCTGCCTGAGCGCCCTGCCCCCCCCAGCCCCGGGCAGCCCAGCCTGGCATGTGCAGGACCCCCAGCCCCGGGCAGCCCAGCCTGGCATGTGCAGGACCCCCAGCCCCGGGCAGCCCAGCCTGGCTTGTGCAGCCCCCCCAGCCCCGGGCAGCCCAGCCTGGCATGTGCAGCC